GTTTCCGTACTTAGTAGTTAGTTCCGTTTTAGTCGGTTTTTTGGGGGTTTGGGGTACGGGGGGGGGGGGTTTGGGAATGAGGAGGTGTTTGAGTGGAGAAGAAAGTAAAAAAATAAAATAAAATTTTGATAAATTAATACAAATAACACATGTCAAGCAATAAATGATCTAGCATATGACGTGTTCGACATGTCAGCGCAATTGATATACACGCTCGGTTGGATGTGTTTATTAATATTCATTCCGTCAAGTCAAGGTGCTATTTACCGGATTAGCAATTGGGTGGAAGTTTAAGTGGCAAGGAGGCTATTTTGCCTTTTTATTCAATAGAGTACATGTATAATTATTTAACTATATTATATCTCGATTTTATCAATTGAAATTCTAGTATGAAGTTATCTCGAGATGCCAAAGAACGGAAACAAAATACAGCAAGTACTCAATTAATTTTAGTAATGAGAATAAAAACTATCCTTATGTTGAACAGTAATACAACTAAATAATGTAGTAGTCAGCAATATGCTAGTGTATAAAATAAAACCGCCACTTCAAACTATTTGCTCGAAGCAGTGACCATTTGGCTACATGGCTACATGCCTTTATCACATCTTCTATATTGGCTGATTCAAAATTGGTGAAGTAAGATATTGGATTTAGTCATGGAGAAAAAAATCAAATTTAAGATTAGCTAATTAGAGGCAATAATAAATTTTCGAAAGCTTCACTTTGTTTTAAATTTCGTTCCTATTAAATTTTAGAAGCTATCAATTATGTCCAGTGTTATACATTTCTCAAGTAATCAAACATAAAATTACAAATAAATGCTTCTATATATTTCGTTTTATAATACCATTTGTTCGTATCGTTTGTGATATATGTGATTATTTTGGGAAAAGCCGTGTTTAGAATCAACAACAACAACAACAAACCCAGTATATTCTTACACATGGGGTATGGCAAGGGTAGTGTGTGCGCAGACCTTACCCCTACCTAGTGAAGGTAGAGAGGATGTTTCTAATAGACTCTCGACTCAGAAAATGTGAGAAGAAGAAGAAGAAGAAGCAGAAGAAGAAAGAAAGAAAGAAAAAGAAAAGAAAGGAAAAGAAGTAGTACCAAACAGTAATAGCAGGAAATAAGATAACTAAGGGGAACTAGATGTTGGGCTTTAAGCTTGGTGTAGCTTAAAGAGGGTGAATGGGAGATGGAGGAAAAATAAAATATTTGAGTTTCCCTCCTTCGCAAAGGGACATTGTCCCATATTGGAGGAAGAAAAGACTTTTGATGGGTATATATACAGTTGCTCTTCTTCTAGCTCAGAGTTAAGAAGAAGCCAAGCCTCGTGTCGTCGTCGCTCGCTCGGCTCGGCTTCTGCTTCGGCTTCTAGCTCTTAAAATTTACTTACTAAATTTTCTGATTATCTTCTTCTTCTTCTGCACAATATTTTCCAGTGTGTTTTACAATCGCCGTTCACCAGAGTTTTTGGCACCAATATGCCGGTGAGTTAAACCGTTCTATCCTGGGAGGATAGAACTTCATCAGAGTATTGAAATTCAGAAAATGATTTGAAGAACATAAAACTTCATCGTTTTCTGTGAAACAGTATATAAAAACTTCGGTTTTTATTTATTATACGTACTGTTTATTGTTAATTACAGTATTGTTTACTGTTCTAGTTTTGCCATTAATTGAACTCTTCTGTTGTTGACAGTGAGAAATGGCAATTGATAACGGAAATCCTTCTGCGACTGTTGGTGCAACGACGATAGCCTCGTCAAGCCGCACAATTGTTCCACCGGCTGAGAAACCGGGGAAATTTTCTGGTGCCAACTTCAAAGGATGGCAGAAAAGGGTGTTCTTCTGGCTTACCACACTTGGTATGCAGAAATTCACTAGTGAAGAGCCTCCAATGCCTGCTGCGAACATGCAGGACAACGAAAAATTCATGATTGTTGAGGCATGAAAACAAGCAGATTTTCTTTGCAAAGGCTATATCTTAAGCGCTTTAGAGTATGACTTGTACAATGTGTACAGTGGGATGAATACTCCGAAAGAATTATGGGACACACTTGAGAAGAAGTACAAGACTGAAGATGCATGCTTGAAGAAGTTCGTGGTTGCCAAGTTTCTAGACTATAAAATGATAGGCAGCAAAACTGTTGGAACCCAAGTTCAAAAGCTTCAACTTATTTCTCACGACCTTATTGCTGAAGGTATGGTCGTGAATGAAGCATTTCAAGTAGCTGCAATGATTGAAAAATTGCCTCCTTCCTGGAGAGATTTCAAGAACTATCTTAAACACAAGCACAAAGAAATAAAGTTGGAAGATCTTGTGATTCGTCTCAAGATTGAGGAAGACAACAAAACAACCGAGAAGAAGTCTCGTGGAAATTCAACGATCATGGGAG